AATTTGTGACGCAAAAGAGTGAGGTTATTCATTGTGGTGGGGTGAATTAAATCATTAGTTATGCAGCATTTTTAGTTGTGCTATTTCATTTGATAGGTTGGTTTCCAACACTAGACCTTGGCTTGTTTTCTCAAAATATACTGAATAAAGGGGGTAAGTTGCTGGAAAAACTGTGGTGCTGTTTCAGTAGGAGGGATATTGCAAGATAATTTGTTTTTATTGGCTGAGTTAATGGTGTATATTAACCACTGCAGATAGTTTCTAAAGTTGACATTTCCTGGAGGATAGCACAGTATGTTTCTTTAACATTTATCCATTAGATGGCATTATTGGCCCTATGAACGACTAGCCCTAAGGTAAAAAATGACATACCTCTTGGATCATCTTAAGGGCTTCAACATAACTCTTCTCTGTTTCAAGAAGCTCGGCAACTACATAATTTCTTTTTTCTTCTATTGAGGTCTGTCTCTCTGGCTTCTGTTTTTATGTTTTTGTTTTTCATTTTTTTAAGAGGGAGAAAAGAGAGGAAATTAAAAGAAAAAGCAAAGGACACACATGTGAGCAAATAAACCATAACAAGTACCCCATCAAATAACTAAATGGTCTTCACAGATCAAACAGTTTTATATGCTGTAGTTCAATTTTATACTTGGTTCAAATTTTATTTTCCTTTGTTCTCGGTCATGTTAATGTATGAAAATGAATTGAAACAAAGGAAAATAAAATTTGAACCAAGGATAAAATTTAACTACAACATATATATGGCATTTCACCAAACGTACTGGAAATCTCTGATAAGAAACAAGGTCCTCATAAATTTTTGTGCCTTCCTCAATGGTTACTGCATCATAGGGATTTTCTTCCTCAGTGATATCACGATCCCTGAAGATAAGTAAAAACTGGAAATGTAAGTCTTCAGTTGAAGTACATTCAGGAGGGTGTTTAAGTAGTTGTTGGGTATCTTCTGTAACATTACTTAGCAAATAGATTCTGTTTGTTCAGTAATACAACACAGACGACTTCAAGATGTGGTAAGAACAAAAAGTGGCATGCAAGGTCAAGCTGTGTGTATTTACTAGTTTTCTGACCACAGTTCCATGTTTTTTTTATGATTGGTTACTGTGCGCAGACACTCAGAAATATGGAGATAGCATCATGTCATGAAGAAGCTTAACATCATTATTAGCGAGTCAGACATAATGGCTATGCATTTGTCCTCCTAAAGATGTACAGAGATCCTTGCTAGAAAACTACCATAATTCTATCAAAATACATTTAACAATTATTCGCCAAAGGCGAAGTGAATATCGTCAAATAATCCCCAAGACGAAGTCGAGGGGATTATTTGACAATATTCACCGAACCTGAGGTGAATAATTGTTTTAGTATAATTTCAGAGCTGAACAACAGAGAAAATTCTAAAATCATAACGTTTTAGTAACATTTATTAATGTTTTAGTTTAACATTTTATATAAACCGCACGGAGCGGTTTATATAGCGTCATATAAGGAACCGTTCGACCAATCAGATTGCCGGAAACTCTGTGTTCAGCTCTGAAATTAATGGAGTTACAAATCAAAATGCAGTTGTTAAGCTCAGTTAATTAAATATTTTTTTACTTCAAGGATACTGTCCAATAGCTTAAATATTTTATTCATACAAGACTTACAAAGCAAGATCTTCAAGATTTGAATAAAGATCCTCATCCTGAATGTCATGTCCAGAATTTTCAGGTGGAAATGGCCTGTATAAACCAGAAAAACATTTGTACCTCAGCACAGCACAGTTAAAAAGAGAGAAACTAACTTTCCACTGTATATAAGAATTCTATCACAGCATACAGCTGTAGATTCCCCACCCTCCCAACATTTCAAGCCTCAGGCATTAATAAATTTTCAGACAGAAAATACTCTGACTTCCCATGCCCGATAAAAAACCTGTGATAATCAACTAACTTACTATTCAAGGACAATTTTTATCTCACAAAAAGGTAAACTTTTATTATATACAAACACATTATAGTGGTAACTTACTCAAACCCAGCAGCAATAGCAGACTGCGTGTGGGAAAGGACTGAGAGAGTTTTAATCACCTGAAAAGTGAGGTGATTACATTTAAGTTGTAGCAATAACCTTTTCTCCTTTCCATCTGCTCCCATTTTTTCATTCTTTAGGTTCACTATGGTTACTGTGACATGAAGTACATGCTGATTTGGGTTTAGATATTGTTTAATAAAAGTAAGATATTTGCCAATGGAAGCTGACACTGATCAAGAAAGTCACACTTGCATGAAACTATACTAATCCCTAATAAGAGCAGGTAAAAATTCCAGGTAGATGTGTTCAGGCTTATGTTTTGTAACTGAAAAAACAGAAATCATTTGCATGAAAGGAACAAAACTGGGACACACAGAGCTCTTAGTGTTAGTAAAATGCTTGTGTGGTACACGAGAGCCTATTGTTTATCTGTGTATTTCGAAACACAACCAATTAGATGAATATCAGATGGAAAACGTACTTAACATAAACGTGTATGGACACAACACCACGTCTGATAATTATAATATTGCAATACAAGAGCTTTAAAATTACAGCAATGTACCGATAAGCTAAAACGCCACTGAAATAATAAATATTGTGTGCTTTATTACCCTTCCGACCGCTGTTTTTAAAATAAACACAAATAAACTGCACATTTCCTTATACGAACGATAATGATAGTATTGTTTCCTTAAAATAATATTTGAGTTTAGACGTTCCGGCATCACCTCGTAGTCAATGGTCGCGGTTTATCCATTCAAATACCCTTGAAGTCCCTTTGCTTTAAAATTTACGAGTGCGTGTATTTATACAAGCGTTAAACCAAGGAAACACTGTTAAAATGAAACTGACTATTTCACCACAGTGATACCAAAAGCCCACCTTTCCGGACAGGAATACAACACGTTACAAGTATTTCATTGATGTGCGTTTAGTCCTTCTTCATTAGTGTCGATGGTAAGGACCTCTAAGTAATTAAGACATGGATGCCTTCACTGTTTCTTGCGTTAATTAACTTTAGACGCAAGCGGAAATTTCTCAGCGTAAAATCAACAACTGAAGTTATGGTTCACATTTTTTGAGTCGAATGCCTCATATTAGCTGATAAATACCTTGGCAAAATCAGAGACGTCGTATAATTCATTAGTGTCGAATAAAGCCTCTGAAGTGAGACCAAAATCCCGTGTACAAGAGGCGAGGAAATTTCGAATATTCTTCATACAGTAGAACTGTCAAAACATAAGAGGAAGTGAGATTACTTCATTGAGAAGGTGTAGCTTCACAAAATCAACAAACATCATTAGTGTTCGTAGCTATCAAGCGACAAAATAAGTAATAGAAATCTTGGCTACCTACGTTAAATCTACTTTAAGACTACTAATCGATCTTGCGAGTTACACGATCGCAGGAAAGCGTGTACAAACCGGAGACATTTGAGGTCTCATGGTGATGTCTGGCACAGAGTTGGGACGCAAACGATTAGCCACTTGACACAGTAACACACCATCACGAAGAGATTGAGCCAGATCAAAGACAGTTGCAGTGGGGTATAATACTCGGTGAAACTGTGGTAAAACTCCTAAACTGTTCAACCAATTGCGAGCCATTTGCCATTCTTCTACACCTGATGGTATCCTTTGGCTGCGATGGCGACGCGCCATCTTACTCAAGTAACTGTTCAGTCAGCTGAAGGAACAGACCATAATACTACTTCCCTTCATCCGGGAGTCGGAAGAAACCGGAAGTGAGTAATTATTTCTGTCATGTCCATCATGCCACCAAATTTCACTGTGCACAACTTTTACAATCACCGCTCAAACATCTATGTTTTTTTTTTCATCATTTCTGTTCCCAGAATTGATTTAGGATAAATGGAACTGCCTAGCATCGTCATAGTCGTTTCCTAAATACAGCGGTGTGATTAGATAGGTTGTCGTTGTGAACTGAAGAAATTTCTTATAAACGTTCTGACGTACAAAATTTTAACATTCCTAAACACTTATCAATGTTTTTCCTGCTTCGAATATCTTGCTGTGAGGAGCGCTATTTAGACATAATTCAGAAGTTTTAATTTCCTGGTCGAACTGAAAACGTGACGGTTACTAATGAGAATGGGTCACTTGGAAAACCTTTGAATCCAGGTTAGTTTTAAAATAGATGGCTACTTTCGTTCGCACTGAACCGCTTGGCCGTGGTAGGTCTGGGTACAAGACTAATCGATGGCTAGAAATGGGTACCTATAAATGTTATGCCGCGTAGCACTACAAACACAAATGGTGGAACAGCGAATAACTCTGAAAGCGTAAATTAAAGTGCTAAGCGAAACCCATGAAAAATCCATTGGGCGTTAGCCCTAGTAAAAGGTGAACAGGAAACCACACGAGGTAAAGAAAAAAATTCTTATGACCAGTCGGTGGGAATTGAACCCACGACCTCCGTAATGCCGTACAATACATCGCGTTTCCTCTTTGTTTTCAATAACCGATACAATTATGCTCTGCCACCAACTCTAACTTCTAGGAGCGTGCCACGGAGGTTTATTGAAAGGATTTCAACACGTAGTTTTTCAGCAGCTGACTCTGAGCCCTTTCACTCCCATGAGGGACTAAAACATAATTTCTCCTTATGACATCAATACAATATCAAGCAGGTAAGTGATGAGAATAGAGAACAATGTGAATTAGGGATTTATTAGTTAATCCAATTCCAGATTTTACCAACCAACGCCATAAGAATTGTATGGACTGAAGGTAAAGAGAATTACTAATAGAAATTGAGAAGGTTCAAGGTGCATCGAGCTTATAACTTATTTCCTTTTGTACGTTAAATCTATTGTTGAGCTTAATTTTTCAGCGCCTTGGGGGCAGTAAACTGAAACCAATCAATCAAGTTTTTTTTTTTTTTCTGTTACAGATAAGAGTGAGTTGTTCCTCCTTTCCTCCATTTCTACAACTTGAATATGATGTGGTGAGTGATAGTGCAGAACAAAAGACACCCTACTGTTATATACAGTTAATATTATATGACTTTTATTCTTCCAAGAAATAAAGAACTTAAGCGTTCGCTATGAAGTGTATCGGTCGATCCATTCCCTGAACACCGAAACTCGTGCAAAAACCGTAAACATGCGCATAGCGTTGCAGTCGTTCGAACCCCAGCTAACTGCACCTTGGAGTACCCAGAATCCATCGGAAGTTTTGCAGACGAAAGGACCACCACTGTCTCCATGGCAACCACCAAGTCGAGTTCCTGGAACTCCAGCGCATAGCATTGCTTTTGTTATGCCATTTCCATCTATGAATAGAGAAATAGAAGCAGGAATAAACAAAGATAGTCGTACTTATAGTCAATTTTAAAGTCATTTTCTTGAGGAATTCTGTAGTGAAGGAAGATGCTTACTTTTCCTTTTACAATCTGACTCTGACACTGGAGATATTTTGGCTTGCTGTAGAGTGTGATGAGAGCTACCTGGATGTCTAATCTTACCCCAGCCTGTAAAAATAATAATAAGAACAATAAAACATTAAAAAAAAAAACAATGGGAAAAAAAATGAAATAAAAGTTCTCCTGGCATGAAGCATGCGCAAAGAACAGACGGACCTGCCGACAGCGAGAATACCATGAGCTGACGTATGCTTGCGTATAGCCGAAACGCAAATGCGCAGGGTTTTAAAAAAGTGCAGAGAAAAAAGCAATTTTCGGTCAGCTTTTCTGGTTGAGATAAACTCAAGTACAACATATCAATCACTTCGATGTCTCCTCTTTCATCATAGTAGATGTAATTGTATGAATGGGCCGTAAAAAGGTAGTTTCCAGTTAATTCTGACGTACGGCCCACTCTATAGCATTCGTCGGCCCAAGCAGGTCCTGCCGTTTGCATCAGACTTCCTGTTTACTTAACAAATGATAGTGGTTTGGCGTGTTCTGAACTCTTATCAACAACATATTCGTCTTCCAATGGTCAAAATTTTGCAGACTCATGCGGTGCGGCCGGGTGAGTCTCCGAGAACGGCAAATTCGCTGATTAGATTGCGACTTTGCTGCCATGTGTGGTAAACATATAATTTGCAACTTCCCGCGCTTTAGCACGGCAGTTTCCTTGTCTTAAGTTCGACTTCTTGTTGGCTCCTCATGAATTTTTTTTTTTTTTTCTTTTTATACTTTTAATGGCCCTCGTGACTTCTTTCGATTTGGCACACGATACTTCCTAACAACGCTCGTTAAACTGACCTGTAATGTAACACGCTGTCCCTGGAGGCACCATGTAGTTTGCTTGGGGAAGACACGCGGGCGACACTCGATCGTTGATGTTTGCAGCACGAGAAAGTTTGAGAAGAGCTATGTCATTGTTTATCCGCCTGCTGTCATATTGTGGATGTTTAATAACTCGTGATGCTCCTATATTTTGCTCTGTTCCTTCATTTCGGTGTCGGTTGTGATCACCGAGCCGAATTACGTAGTTCGAGGGGTTTCTGTGCCAAACGAAAAAAAGCAAAACAGAACAAAACAGAGCGCACTTGTTATGCATGTCGTAAAAACTACTTCGTTTGTAAGCAAGTTGTCTGGATAAAGTATATTTCGTCAAAACCGAATTCAAAATCAAGTTAAAATTTACAGGCTAAGGGGAACCTCGCCACGATTTTCACAATTGGAAAAAATCTTATATGGTTGTCTCATCATTATGTTAAAAGACTGATCAAGGATTTCATATTTTTTAAGGGAAGTTTGTGTGAGATATTGACGTTGTTAATCCAACCAGTCTACCTCACGGTCGCAGTCGTGCTTAGGGTGTCCCGCAACGCCCTCCAATCCGACTGAGGGAGTGTTGCGTGATATCCCAAAAAAACGGTTCCGAAGAGTACTGCGGTCAGAGTTTGAAACCAAGCTGCTCAGCTTCGATTTCTAGCCCTCCACGTAATATCATTATTGAGGTGTAAATAAATTATCCAAAACTGATGAGATGGCGATAATTTTTTGTATTATCAAAGGAATTTAAATGCCGCGATCAGTTTCTGGTGATATGGGCTACCTGCAGAATGTAACTTACAAGGTTGAAATGCAATGTGCTGCCGTGACAACCCAATATGGTGTTACTAAGGTTCCACCGCAGAAAAATCCTCCTTGACTGTTATGCAAACCAACCTTAGAAAAATCAGATTTATGAAATCAAACATGTTAGGGAAGAGAGATCTCCTTGGCGAAAAACGGAAGGCAAGGTTTGTTAAGGGGCTAACCTACACCAGGCGTTCAGTTTATTAACGGGACGCGATGATAGAGCAAAGCCAAAGAAGGAAAATATTTGGGCCTGCGGGTCCATCCACGTTTTCTGACTGAACGCCTGTGAAAAGGTTCTTATGTTGCAAACCTGCCATGGCCAGGCACCAGGATTAGCGTCGTCTCCTCCAATTACACGGCTGTTACCGAGAGGGGCAACACCGCAAGAACCTGGGAGAGGCAAAAGACATGGCGACGTTTGCGAAGTAGTAACAGATTTTTCTAAGGTGTACGAAGTAACCTAAACTTCAATCGACTTTCAACCGTCCCTAAGAATCTTTTTAATCACAAAGTTCCTCCGATTGATCGTTAGAAATTGATAAACTAATATGAATAATTTAACACAAGATAACTGTCATAAAAATTTGGAATGCTCCTTTAACGTACCTGAAGGAGGTTGATTTGTGTTAGGGGGTGGAGGTATGTCAGTGCCTGGGTTTGGTGGTTGTGGGGTTCCTGAAAGATTGAAAAGGGAAAAAATAGTTCCTCGTTCACCATTGAAGCTACTGGAGGCGGGATAATGGAAATTATTTTAATTGAAAATTAAATTTAGGTTATTTACATCATTTTGCGCCCAACAGGGGGCTCTTACAGGAGGTGGAATTTCCGAACGAGTTAGGTGAACCAGGATTTATAGCATCTGTCTACAGAGTGAAACGGGCGAAATCCTCCTGGATCTTTTTTCTAGAAAATCACTCATTCATTCCTCACTGTTGTTATTCAATTCCCATTTTACGATTTATTAAACTCTGAGTCACAAAAGGAAAAATAATGAAAAAAATGAACAACGTAAACCCCCTTGTCGAAACAAGTTTTCATGGTTTGAATCATCTAGCTACCCAGTACCATAAACAAACAAATAAATAGTGCTCTTTTATGCAAAGAATGGACATGGGTTTCCTTGCTAATTATATGATAATTTTATACGCTTACCTCCACCACATAGACCGCAACTCTTTTGACATTTCTTCCTGACAATATCCATTCTCTCACAGTCTCCTCGAGGGACGTGGTAGCTACAATACTTGCCAGTGTCACGGCATTCACCTGAACATAGGAGGGCCATTCAGTCAAAGAAATCACATCAGTAGATTGCTTGGTGAATACATACTAAATTAATCGAACGTTTGTTAGCACAGTTTCTGAACTAAGAAAAGTTACAATTTCCTGAGAAAAAACTCTTGAAGGTAGTCTGTACTCTGGATTAAAAGATGCCGGTTCAAGGTCTGGTCGGGTCACTGTTTCGTTTCCGTTGGAAAGAAATCTAACTCACGGCGTATCTCTCCATCCATTCTTGTTCCCAAGAATACAAAGGCATACCGGCCAATAAACGCTGAGTAGTAATTCTTTGATTATCCAACATCGTGTCCAGGGAAGAGAAGTACGGCTAGTTGCTTCCTACTACTGAAACCGAGATAAGAACTAGCAGGATGGGTGTCTGGGGCTCGAACCTGTACAGATCTGTGTCCTTTTTGCCACTCTCACGCGCTAACGAATCCCTAGACTAACTCTTTCAGATACCTCAAACTGCAATAATAAAATCTGATGAATTTCAGTCATAGCTACTGTATACAGACCTGGGGGTTGGGACGGTGGCATATCTGTATCTGGTGGAGGGGGGGAAGGTGGCATCTCTGTGCTTGGCGGAGGAGGTGCGTCGGTAACTGGTGGTGGTGGAGATGGTGGATTGGTGTTCGGTGGTGGAGTTCCTGAAACGTTAAAGAGATAACATTAAGGAGACCGTTCATTAAAGATTTGTTAGAAAAGGAATCGAGCGAGAAAAAGGTTCACTTTCATCGCGCTTCCCACGCGATATGTAGTAAGTTTCAAACACACAGTGTATCTCCTATTTTTCTTAGAATATTACCTTCTGGACACAGACCGCAGCTTTTTTTACATTTCCTCCTAACAATCTCCATTCTTTTGCAGTCTCCACGTGGAACGTGGTAGCTGCAGTACTTTCCAGTGTCGCAACATTCACCTAAAATTAAAAATAATAATAATCCAAGTGATTTCTTTGCCTGCTGTACGTCATACACAGGTAAGTTACAGTGAGCTAGGGCTCCTGCTGTAAAGTTTCATAAAATGTCTAGGTTATATATCAGGACATTTCGGACGAAAGAAAATAATGGAAATAAAGGATGTAATTAAGACGCGTTCTTTTGACCTTAAGCTGTACATATATTTTGTCCAAAGATAACAGCTCTACTTATATACACCAACCTGGAGGTTTATTCGTAGGAGGAGGGAGGGGAGGGTCTGGTCTGCCGCCGGCTCCTTGACATTTGTACAGCAGTTTCATCTGAAGAATATCAATTTTGCTCAGGCCTCGGCGGTTTCCAAGCGTTACCTGCCAAAAAAAGAAAAAGCAAGCTTTTGCAGCTGATTTTGAGACTATGCAGCCTTGAAAATCAAGTAACTTATTGGAGATTGGAGGATGAATTCTGTCAGCTCTTTATAGAACATACTTCACTTCAAATCAAAACAAAAAAAGGTTTTCGTGAAATTACAGACATTCAAACGGTCTGTGTATTACTTGGAAATGGTGCTTAAAAGAACATTATTTAAACGTCTGAAGATGCGTGTGTTTTGGCTATAGACAAAAATACAAGCATTACTAATTTCAGTCTTCAAATTGAACGAGGTCCTTGAGATTTTATTCAAGCTGTACAAGCTCTACAGTTCACCAGTCGAACTTGATTCAAATGATTCGAATTAGGACCGGCCCAATTCGAAAATGGTACGCAAGTCGATTCATCCGCAGACTTTTATCGGCCATTATTGCCATTCTCGATATAAATCCTGATCAGTAAAATGAAAATACTATATGATAATGTCTGCATTTGGTTGGAAAAATTAAAAGTTCGGCGTCTAAATCAAAGCCCCAAAAAAAACCGTAGCAGAGATGAAACACTCAGCCAAGCCAGGTGGAAAGAAAGCTGAGCCGCTCAAATTGAAGAAATTGTTGTCAGGTGATCAGGACACCGGCCGGGCTTTTCTTGTATTTGATTCATAGATACATTGAAAAGTTCAGAGTTTGATACGGATCTGAGGTTAATTTAAGACCTGTAAGATGTTTTTCAAGTTTTTTGCACCAATAAACATTTGTATTTTGCATTGTGCAAAGGTTTTTTTTAATCGAACAGCAATAGTCCATTTTACAGTTGTGTGCTTGGTTGCCAAGCCTTTGAACGGGAATGAGGCTAGAGATGACCTTGTTATGATACATGCAAACCTTGCTGCCTTTCGAATGTAAATCACTTTGTTATCATGCTAACTAGATACAGGTCTCTATCACAACAAGGTCATCTTTAGCCTCACTCTGAATCAAAGGCTTGGCAACTAAGTACACAACTGTAAAATGGCCTATTAAATCTAGCGCCCTTAAGTACTGTTAGTTGATGAAGGAAAGATTTTTACGTTTACAGCTAATCTCTGACCAGTTTCATTTAATCACAACTATAAGTTGATCACCAGTTAATTATTACAACCAGCAGGTGTGGCAAACTATAATCGAATTTCATGATCCATAACCAGTTATTGAGAGAAACAAATTTTCTTCCAACAAACCCCTGATTTCTTTGCAACAATAGTTGGCCGTCCATTTCTGCTGAAGGCTCTCGAATCATAGTGCATGACACTTCCATAATCGTATGGTGTTCCCAAGGAATCGATCGTCGATTTACTATATTTGTTGAAATTAAATTCCATACCTATGTATAGAAAAATGAGAATCTGACTGCGAAAGTGCATTATGATTAAAGCAGGTATTTGCAGTAGTTTAGTTTGGTTAGAAGAAATAATAATGATAACTTTTACATTAAGATAGCGCAGACCTCTATATGGATATATTCAGTTGCGCTTCACGATATTGTCAAAGTAAAATTATGTTAAAAGCAACTAAAAACATAAACTATTAAATACTACAAATCCGTGTACAATCAAAGGTAGCAATAGCCAAGTCATTAAAATAGCTAAAAGATAAGACATGAAAAAAATATATATTTGAAGGCTAAATTAAAAAAAAAACAGTTTTCAAAGCAGTCTTCAAAGTGTCCAGTATCTTTATGGGACAGGGACAGATGTATATGGCATACCATATCTACTCATTTGAACGCCACTTTAAATCCAAAGCCGCCTTCCGCCCTCCGCCCTCCGCCCTCCGCCCTCCGCCCTCGATTTAATGCCAGAGACGGAAGCAGAATGAACAATATCTTAGGACGCTACCCCAGAATATGCAGCTGCGTTCGCACAGTTACGAAGAAAACAAAAGCGAGGTAAAACTTGGTACTTCGACCATCCTTCACGTCATACACTTGTTGAAAATTAAGGCCACAAGCCGAACGCTTCTGATTATATCTCGGGAAAAAAAGTGAGTCATCGGAACTTTAACGATGTTTCTCACTGAGATTATATTTAAAAAAGTATTTTACAGTAAATGTTTTTCGTGATTACAGAAATATGATTCGGAAATAAGCGTCGCCTTCAGTATTAAATGCCGTCGCTGAAATAACACCGCATCGAAAACGCTGAACATTTTATAACAGTAATACGGGGATGATCGTGGGTGAGAAGGACTGTAGTCGGTGGTGGTGACTGACGTTTTGACAACCTGAGCAGAGGTCATCCTTAGAGTCGAGTTGAACTATTACCACCACGTTCTAACCATGAAGAATGTATTTGAAATTGTAGGGCAAGAGTACCTCGTACAATGTTTCGTCGGTAAATGGTGACATACTCATCTCTGTCAGGTCTGGACTGCTCGTGATAAAAACCGAGGGCGTGACCTATAAACAGCGAAAATATGTATCAACGTGATTCTAGAAAACAAAAACAAAAAAACCATGTCTTATCCTACATAAGTTGTACCCTGTATGTGTAAATCTTATCAGCTAATAACCTCAAGTTATCTGGTACATAATTTGTAGAATGACGGTTGCGCTATTTATTGACCCAGGAGAACTTCAGACTGACACAGTTTTTTCTGGATTGAAGAGCTCTTGTTACTGAATAACTCAGACGCAAAGGTAGTGGGAAAGACAGCTACAGAATGTAACGAATAGGCTAGCTGTATATGTCCGTTAGAAAAAAAACTATCTCGCCATCCCTTTGAGCAGCTTAAGCGTTTTTTTTTAGGTTGTTGCAGCTGACTCTTGGACAACCTAGTATAGAGAACGGTCCTCAAATTAATCGTCATTGTCATCATCAGCATTGTCAACATCATCGTCGACGTTGTCGTCGTCATCGTCATTGTCGGAGTCAGTATCGGCGTCGGCAAATCAGGTGAAAATATTTAAAAACAAGTCGAGCTAGCTTCAGAGACGCTTAGCGACCTACTTTTAAACTTTGCCAACAGTTACAGACTGAGGTAAATCAAATGCTTTATGTATTTGATCTTCACCTACAATCTTATAGACTTGAATCAGATGTATTATGTGATAGAAAAATTATATTGAATTAGTTATGTTTATCAGTAATACCAATTTCATGTGCAACAACTCCTACGTGCAAACATCCTCTTCCGAGAGTGATAGCTTGCCTACGTCCAGTCTGTCCAACCATCGATGAACACCTATTTTTAAAATTCAGTATTCCTTTAAAAGTTGATTCAAGATGGAGCGCTTGTTACTGTTTGCTGCTTTGCTTACACTTTTCCTCGCGCATCGCTTACGGAAAACTGTTCGCTACTTGGAACAGATAACGTCCGCGGACAAATATCCGAGCATGTTTTCATGCAAAATGGGGGTTGTTGTTTATATACGTATGATGCAATGAATATATGAACTTCATATATTCATTGTATCTGAGTTGTTTATATAGTTAGTGAATTAGCGTAATCAAATACATGATAAAGACGCGTGCAAACGCTTAAAAACCGAGCAGATTTGTAAGCATCGATTTACCCTCCACCGCCCTGGAAATACGCATAACTTCTCTCGTTTCCTCTTCTCTCCCTAAATGTGATACACGTGTTATCAGACCACATCTTCATTCCACTTCGAATAGCGTTCATTGCACTCGGACTCCGGCCTATGAATAAATGAAAATAGTGCAGCGGCCATTATCGCTAATCATAGCCATATTTCTTGTCGATGTACTTATTACAGAATACTTTTTACATAACCATTCACAGAAAACACCTGATTAATTGGTGCAAGTTGTAAGAGTAAAGCTGGTGCCGGTACTCCTCTCTAGACGCTTTGAGTTTCACGCCCGCATGTCCCTTTCACGACATCCCTCTAGCCGGTCTGCTACACAGTTTAAACATTGTTTCAGTTGTTGGATAAGTTTGCTTTTAAACCACTTCTTTTCACGGCACACTTATCGAATAAGCTCAAAATGGTAGATTTCTGTTTGATTTATGAGATTTGAAAAGAAGAAAAAACAGTAATATGATAAAGGATAGCCCAGAAAGGTGGACATGATAAAAAAAACAAACAAAACAAACAAACAAACAGATAAACAAAAAAGCAAACAAAATCAAAAAAAATTCGTTAGAATAGCAAAAATGATACTTCTTTCTTGAACTTGGGGTTCCTACAGTTTACTGTTAACCAAATGATTTAACAACGTCGACCAACTCACGGAAACTACTAGCGATTTGGTAGACCAAAACTCCACCTGGCCACAAGCCCCTCCTGATGGCGCCGCGGCTCGCTGGCCCGTCAACGTCTTGTCCAGCCATTGCAGCAGCTCTTTGTTCAGGTGTAAGGATCATGTCCCCTTCAAAGAGATCAGGATTTCCATCTCTCTTGTTCTCTATGTGCCAAAAAGAAATAGAGATGTGAAATTAAAAAAGACTGTACAGATCCAATTAGTATTTTGCTTTCGAAAAGCCAAACCTAAATAGCAGGGGGGGGGAATCTGGGTCAAAGTTTGTTGTTGTCCAAGAGGTCTTTATCAACGCAAAAGACCATCATCCGTAAAACAAGAATACTTTTTGCACTTCATGCAATCTTATGATCGAGAAACTGAAAGTCGCTTGGAATCTTAAAGAGAAAAAAAGTTTATCGTCATATAATGTGTGGAAAAAGCTTCGCACTTCTTTTGAAGCCTGTGGGCAGATCGTAGTAAGTTAGGTGGCCGCCTATAAGCGGAAGGAAGTCTTATCTGAGAAGTTCTGACTGTATTGATTTTACAATAAATATATCGATCTTGTCTAAGCAGTCTCTTACTGGAGGATGTCGAGTTCACCTACGAAAGGTTGTGGCACAAAGAGCTTCTCATAAGTTTTTTTTACTCTATGAATAGTTACAGGCTCCGCTAGAAATTGACTGCGTTGACACAAGAGAAGATCAAGATACGACATCACTTCCGTCAAAAAAGATTGAGATTTCAATTGAAGGCGTTGCTAGGTTATTTTTAGATTTCAGTTGTATTATCCTTGGATAGTCGTCCATTAGTTGTTCTAGTGAGCCAAGCTCTCGACGCAATACGGGTATTTAGGTTGGTACTTATGGATTTTCAAAAGCTGAAAGTGATTCATTAAAATAACTTGAAAAAGTGACAAAAAAGATTATATGAATGTGGGTTCTATTAGCTGAATCCTTCTTGGTTTTCCATTCTCACCTTCTGGATTGTAACTCAAGGTACCGCACAGACACATAGCAACAACAACGTACAGCAACATTTTCCCAGCGTTGTGAAATGGGCCTAGATCAGAAAGTGTTCACTTTATATCTAATTGGCATACGCGGAATCTGTCTTATTACTGCTAGAGCAGCAAGCAGGGAATGACGTCTTTGAGATCCAACTGGTCAAGCTGAAAAAGCGGGGGCCCTTCTGTATCAATAATACGCGCGTGCTCTTTATCAAAGAATGGTGCGTCTACTTGCAAATAATGTGACAGAGGAACCTCTGTATGTGCACTTCTGTATTTACAAGGACATGATATTTGTCAACACTGGAAGAAAATTACACAGCGAGGGTAGCCGCGTCTTAAGTCGTTTCATAACAGCACTAGTTCCATTTTTCTTTCTCTTTTATCCCCTAACGTTGCAAACCATTTTTAAAACACACGAAACCCTCGACATAACTGTTTCTAGCACTATACAGGACCTTCGTATATAAATTTGATAATGAGCCTAAGGTTCGGGCTTTCACCATGAGATATACAGCTCCTTGAAAGTCACTGGTGTAGAATCTGACCGTAAATCCCGAAGGTCTGACGTTCTCGAGGTGGTCTTTAACCCTACTGCTGTTTTTATATAGTTAGCTTCCCCACTATATTTCTTTTAGTTTCTCTCTTTTTCAAATCTTCATTTAGGCCCCATTCCACTTGCAACCAATTGTAACCGAGAAAGATTTGAGGAACAGCAGAAATGTCGGTGATTACTGGGATCCGATATCACACAGGTGGCGGCTAATCGCTGCCTCGTGCCCGTCGGGTGATTCGCTTTCAAAATAAGTCACTCATTGGGTTCGTTTTCAAGCTGGAATCGTAATTTATGAATTATATAATTATATGCCACCTCTTGTGGATGCAAATTGTGTCCATCTTAGCGGGGTGCATCTTCAGTCGCTTTGTTCTTTTTTAAGGAGTCTAGAAAATGCATTCAAAATTAGTTTATTAGAGTCTTAGATCCTCTCCTTTTTTCCTCACTATTTTCACAAAAGATAGCAGTAATCTCGATTATTTTTTCTCAGTTTTATTCAGTTATAAAAGGTATACGTTTCATATTATAGCGAAATAAATCTGTATGCTTTGAAGCTACTCGAAGTATTTTACAACTGCATAATTTAAATCAAGCTGCTCTGGGTTATACACAGATTTTCTTTGGAGAGGGAAACAGTAGCTACTTAAAATGTTCAGCATGCAAACATCTACGAAAATACAACCGGGTATCGGACTGTAGCTTTTCTTATAGAAGGATCGGCTTAAAATTTCGCTAAAAATTAGCTGGGGTTCCATTGATTAAGATCGCGTGATGTGCTGCTTAGAACCATCTGGTTTGACTAAAATGCGTCCGTGTGTTGGACATCGAACTTCTGGTTTTTGTTCCATTTTCTTTGGCGCAAAAATATCGTTCTTAGCCTGTTTTATGATCATGTAACAGAGGACAACGTAGATGATGAAGTTAATGAGGTAGATCATGTGGTCAATATGAATTTCCATCGCCTGGAATGGAACAAAAGAAAGTAACTAAGTTGTCACCAAGCTTCTTAGTCATACGTTAAAACCCTCAATGGCGTCACTTAAAAACTAGAACCATTACAACTTAGAAGAGGGAAGCAAACATCATTTATAAATCGATCGATAAATTTACCCACCATTAAACCTTCACACAGTTGCAATACTCCTGGAGAAATTAAGACGAGAGTCGACAGGAAATCTATAATTCAAAACTTTAAGCACAATGCTGGATTATTTTTACAAGTTAAAAACAATATTCCAAATTTATCCTCGCCTCAGCCCTACTATATTAGCGTTTTATAAAACTCGTGCACTTGAAATTTAAAAAAAAAAAATCTACCAATGAGAGGGGTAAACGGTTGTAAATGTTTACTCATTTGTGGAGGTTTTGGAGGCATTATATTCTGATGAAGACGGTATTAATGTTTGATTTGCAGCAGAAAAAATTAAAGTTTGTGGTAAATTCAAAATGAGCAGGTGAACCATTTTACTCTGCCTCATTTAGGAATAACTTTTTGGGGAATCTTTGAAATTAGCCACTTTGGTCAATGCACCAACTAGTTAATGGAAACGGATAGTTAAAAATCTTATTCAAATATTCAGTTTCAGTCGAAAAAAAACGATGAAAATAAAAGTAGCTATTTGGAGGTTATTTCATAAAGAAAACAAAACAACTTAAACTAGTTAACATGTTTTTTTCTTGGTGGAATTAAGTAAGCAGCAAGTGAGGACTGATCAGGAAATCGATCGAATTTTGCGAAAATCGTTCCCGACGTTTAATAAAATTTTATCTGCGCTTGACAATTACTGCGACTGACGAAGAAAAATTTGAAATTATGAATAGCGTGCCTTGCAGTTCGCCATCTCGATTCACAAAATAAAACAGGATCAATTTACTTTTTCTTTCTTTTTCGCTTTTCTGTCTCCATCTATATGGGCCGCGGTACCTTTTGAAGACTTGTTTTCAAGAAAATAGAAGGCCTTCAGAAATATGGCCTGAAATGACAAAAGTACTGCTGCCATAGAAGTATAGAGTGCGATGTTCCTCTCTTTTGTAAACATTAAGTGAACATATGTTAAAGACAGGCAAGTCAAGTTCTATTGAGAAAGTCTTGGAGCTTAGACGACGTGATGATAGTGGCTGGAAAAACACGATTTTGAACGCCAAAGGAAAGACAGAATTCAGGTTTTTTAAATTTCATAAAGAACGATGCTGTTCATAAGTCATAAGACTAAATATAATGCCAACCAAACTCTAAACTGCGCAAGCAATATTTTCCGCTTCGAAACTTGAAATAAGAGGGGGGGGGGGAGTGGGTGGGTAGGACACTGCTCTCCCCACAAGTTTTTGACAGGAAAGGACTACAGCCTTCCTGCCCCCCACCCCTGCTCGGTCGCCCCTCCACTAACGTTTCAATGAAAATGCACGCGTTTCAATTTATTGATGAACCGACTTGTATTTTCTATTTAACTGAATCAGGAAAATCTCAAGAACCTATTCCTTCACAGTCAAAATTTTGAATGAAATCAATCAAAGAGTTTTGTCCTCAACTGTCATTTATTCGTTGATCGTACTCCTATGTTTTGCTATGCCTTAGTAAGCAATAATTTCTTTCACGTTGACGGTTTAAATCTTGGGAACCGAAGATTTTCGCTTCACCGCTGGCTTCTTTGGGTAATATGATCGGTAAATATCTTTCACCATCGGCCAGCATTCTCGGCACAAGAAAACTCCAGCTATAGAGTAGACCACCACGATGAATGCAACCATAACACGAACGTGTAAATCTACCTCCTCTTTTGAATCTGGAGATGGCATTGTTTGAGCCTGTTGTCGCACACTGGTGTGGCAGAACTCAGTAGCTGTGAATAACGAGAAAAGAAAACTCAGCAAGTTACCTCCGTTCCCAGATGCTCTTTAAATGAAGAAATCTGCAAAGACAGGAGTGTATCTAAGTTTTTGGCGCGTTTTTAGTATGGAAGGCCAACGTTCAATAACAAGGAAAATTTGTTTTCCTTCAGAATTCTTCTTAGTGATCTCAGATTTATCTTGCGGACGAAGTGACCTTCCCCTGAGCAGCTTGTCAAAATCGATGTGGTGTTTCCTCAATTTCATCTGATTTGTTTTTGCCTCACAGTTTGAAGAATCCGCTTTGTCCACTTTTAACTCTTTTATCACGATAAAGCAATTGTCGATTTGAACCAATCAGATGGCGTAAAACTAGTTTTCACAGCGAGAAAAAGAAAAGACTGCAGTGCTTGCAAGATAAGGGCTTAAGTTCAAATCCGTGAAATTTGAATGCAAATTGTTGCAGGGGGACTGAAAAGGAAAAAAAGCGGAAAAAAGAAAACATAAGCCCGAAATCTGTGGATGAAAGATAACAAGAGAAAATAATGGTCTCATTACACACTTTTTGTGCATAAAAGATATGTTTGTGCATCGTTTCATAGAGGTCTGGCCTTGATGAAAAATAAAATTTCAATCATTTGTCTCATGATACAAATTCGTTTGGTTTATCATGACCAGAAGAGTGTGAGAAATAAATCCGTCGATCTTCGAGCCATGATTGACAGCTTTTTGTCAGCGGGTCATTTTCGATATGCACGAAGACTCTACAAGGGTAGGCGCTTAGCTTTTAATATTGAAATGAAATGGAAATTTATCGAACAAAAGGTTTTGCAATTCTAAAAGTCTAATTTTGAAAGTGAGGGTTTTCAGAACTTTGAAATGTAGTTAGACAAATGATTGAATGCTGAATGTGACTATCTAACTGAGTTTTCCTCCAACTGTGTAAATAAGTGCATGAAATGCTAAAGAGGCATTTCTGCTTAACTAGTGAATTCATTCCTAATATGAGCTAGACTTTGTATGAAATCTTCAAGTTAGTTCTACAGTCTTGCCAGAGGCATCAAACTGTTGGGGTCCGGCAACCGTGACTTAGAAACACAATTGGATAGCAACAATAAATACTGCTGTGTTTGTTTTACCGAAGCAACTAATAATCCAACCCTCCTACAGAGAGAAACACTTCGAATTACAACAGAGAGATCACTCGGTCAATGCATGAGAGAATTCTTCTTGAGAGAAGGTTAAAGTAATAAGGGTAGTTGCGAGTAATGAATGAAGAACAAGACACGAAGACGTGACATGGACTGGGTCCGAGCGCGCGCTGAAAAGGAACTGAATAGGAAACCTATAGCTTGAAGCTATGCTTGGTATCTAAAAGGTCTTGAAGTTTTCTGTACTTCAGTTCCGGTAACAGCGAGAAACAAAGTCAATCAAAATGACTTATTTGCAAATTTACTTTGACGGTGGAAAAAGCTATGCGACTGGGAACAAGTTCTTGCAGCTTCAGTCAAACGCATTACATTAGTTTTGACGGTTTTGGACGAATCTTTTTTTTTTTGCGGTCTCGCGGCTTTGCGAGATATTTTCTACGGTTTTGCAATTTCTAGTAGACACTAGTGTCCAACTCTCCTCT